AAACTCTTAAAGTGTTAGAATGTTTTTGTTTACTTGTGCAAAGTAAACTGACAAAGTTGTTTCATTTCACGTATGCTAACTGATAGTTTTGAACAAAAGGTCTGCTTAAACATGTTCAGCTTCCCCATCCCCTCCTCACCCTCCTTTTTTTGGTGTTATTACTGGTTCTGGTACTAAATTTTATGTTGAAGAAGCAATGCCCTAGAACATATTCCATTGTTAAAAGAGGCATGGCTACATTACTTAATACATCTTTGATTAAACCTTTAGCATGTAAAGTGGAGCCCCCAGTGGCCAAGTGGGTTAAACCGCTGAGCTGCTGAACTTGTTGACCAAAAGGTCGCAGGTTCGAATCTGGGGAGAGGCATGAGCTCCCGCTGTTACCCCCAGCTTCGGTCAACCTAGTAGTTCGAAAACAGGCAAATGTGAGTAGATCAATAGGTATCACTTCGGTGGGAAGGTAAAGGCACTCCATGCAGTCATGCTGGCCACATTACTTTGGAGGTGTCTATGGACAATGCTAATTCTTCAGCTTAGAAATGGAGATGAGCACCAACCTCCAGAGTTGGACACAACTGGACTTAATGTCAGGGGACAACCTTTACCTTTACTTTATGTAAAATGATCCCAAAATGATTTTTAGATGAAGTTGAATTCCTCAGGTTCTGTTTGTTTCAGACACAGTGCAACTTCTAGATTAAGTTGTCTTCCCCTATTCCCAAATGAAAGTTGAAGGCACTCTAGATTTTTAAAACAAAAAAGGTTTCAGAAACAGGCCAAAGCAGTAAAAAAAAGTACTGGAAATCCTTACTAGAAACGAAAAATTGTTTCCTGATGGGGCACTGCATTTTGCCAAGATCCATTTCCAAGTTAAGCCCAAATCAATCTGCCATATGGGATTACTCCATGCAGCATCTTGGCTCAGGAACAATACATGAATGGGGGAAAAACCTTGACAGAATTCCTCTGTCTATGTGATACTATGTGTATTTCTATCACATAGTATCATGTTCCAGTAGGAAACATCATTCATATTCATTCAGAATTCAGAATTAAACCGAGAAGTTATACTTGTGGTTGACTATATTGATCATAAAGATGGACTGTATGGTGTTATTGGACCTGGGCTGCCTAAAACATGCTGGCAGTTGCAGTTTAGTATATTTATTACCATCCTTTGAAAGATTGATCACAGGAAACTGAGGATCTTCTATTTTGAAAAATCAGAATCAGCTGTTTTCCCCACAACAGCCTGCTTGCTAGACACACTAAGTATAACATATGTGCTATGTGCATTTTATACACTGATACGCTAACTATGGCCTACCCTAGTAGCCCATCTTGCTACTACTAATAATAAACAAGAAGAACACAGATTTCAATTCTGTCTATTGTTTGTTAGTCACAGTCCACTAGTACAACTGTAATGACATGAACCACAGTTTGTACAATCATGAATGAGGAGGAATGAGAGATTTTTTTTGGTTGTCTGCTAATTATTTGCCAACACTTTCCTCCTCATAAGCCTCATAGATTTTTATCACATAATCTCCAACCTAATTCAAATGTTGACATGTGAAAACAGGAATCCATATTCCCTGTATGGTGTTATGTCTCTGCTGGATTGCCTTATCTGTGTACATTATAGCATTATGTCCAAAAAAAGCCAGCCCTACCATTGGGAATAGTAAAACAGCTGTCTCAGAAACCAGATCTTAAGGAGGTGAAGGGACAGTCCCATGGCCATTCTTCTATATTTGAGGACAGGGCTGTGTATTTTGATCTGTCAGCCTTTCATGCTTTAAGCTCACTTGCCACTCTCAGGTCCATGGTAATTGTCCCTTCATCATTGTTAAAGTAAGATTGAGCTGCCAATTTGGTTAGCTTTTTAAGCAGAATGAGGATCATGAGAAATGTCATCTTGTGCTTCATCTAAGGCAGAAAAAGTTTTTTGACATGCCTCATTGCCAGGGATCTGTGGCCTAGACTGAGGAAAAGGGAGACAGATGGACCACAGATGGAAGAAGACGCATGTTGAAATTGGCGAACAACAGGTCATTGCTCATTATCATCTCTATTCTGTGGTTGTGATTTTGGTAAGGGATCTATTCTTTACCATCCTCATTATATCCTCACAGTGTTGGCCCTTGTCAGTTGGTCTATTAAAAAACATGTCGTCATTTTAAAGATACATACTCACATTTGTACAATCCATCCATGGCTGGATGCATTTAATACATTTTCAACTATTCTTCCAAATTACAATTTACTGTGAAAGTGCTGAGAATACTGCTAATGCATTCTTACAAGTTTCTACTAAGAAATAAAATAAACAAAAGCTAAAAATGGAATTGAATGTTGAATTCCCAAATTGAGAGTAAACAACTTATTTCATAGCCCTCTCCTTGCTCGTAATAACTTTTCCACAGTGGAGAGAACATTATTTTGCACTTGTAGATTTCAGAATAAGCAATATAAAACTTCAGCAATATCCTAGAGTCCTCACATGTGTATGGACAAAGCATTTTGTGAATATTCACATGCAGTGTTTATTACTGCGCTTAAAGTGATTCCCATTTTGCCAAAAAGGGTTTGGCAAACCTTGACCTGCAAGTAGCTCTCTCTCCACATACACTCAATCACACACCATTAAGACAAAATCACTCATGTGCATAACTTGAAATCTTCATGATAAGTGGCCATTTAAATGTTGTTTTTAGGTCTGAAATTGTCTTCTTTAAAATACTAAAAAGTCCATTTATGTTGACCAAAAAGCTATTTTAGCCTCCAAAGACAGCATTTAGCTTTTGGAGAATATGGTTTACTTTAATGCTGATTTTTTTATTGCTGGGTCAGGGGTATGAGGTTTTCCAAAATAGGCAGGTGCTCACTGGTATAGATCAGGGCTTCTTATTAAACCTTTTCCTCTCACAACCCCTTTCTGCAAGAGACATTTGTATGTGATAGATGATAGATAGATAGATAGATAGATAGATAGATAGATAGATAGATAGATAGATGATAGATAGATAGATAGATAGATAGATAGATAGATAGATAGATAGACAGACAGACAGACAGACAGATAGATACAATAAGTAGAAAATCAAACATTTACAGACAGTAAATCAGCATTTGCAAGGGTTGCAAACAGGCTGATTTTCTCTTTTGTGGAATACAACTGAAGCATTTTCTGCAGAGTTCACTGCAAACATTTGGGGTCATGACCCACAGTTTAAGAAGCAATGGTCTGGAGCAGTGGTTTCCAACCGTTGGTCCTCCAGGTTTTTTGGACTTCAGATTCCACAATTCCTAACAGCTGGTAAGCTGGCAGGGATTTCTGGGGGTGGAAGACCAAAACACCTGGTGGACCAAAGGTTGGGAGCCAATTGTCTAAAGCGGTGATTCTCAACTTGTGGGTCCCCAAGTGTTTTGGCCTACAACTCCCAGAAATACCAATCAGTTTACCAGCTGTTATGATTTCTGAGAATTGAAGGCTAAAACATCTGGGGACCCACAGGTTGAGAACCACTGGTCTAAAGGATGGGGAAAAGCAGCTCCAAGACTGATCGAAGTTATCCATTCTGGCTCTAAAATAATTCCAAAGGGCATTTTTAAATTTCCCTTTAGTCAAAGCATTGGAGGTGTTTTTAAGAAAGCCTAACAAGTTTCAAAAACTTTCCCAATTTTTTGAGAGCTTTTCACATACAAGGGCATACTCTCCACTATTCCTGACTTGGCAGAGGCAGTTCCAGTTAACCCTTTGACAGACTACATTTTGGGTGCTTCCACACAGTACACATAATTCGGGAGAGAATGGGTTAAAAAGGGTTGGCCAGATGACATTTGTGCTAAATGCACACTTAATTGCAGCTATGGAGGGAAAACCCAATTAAAAAAGGTCCTCCTTTATCCTGATTCCAAGCAAAACAAAGTAGATTTTCCCATGACTGTGTGGCCTTGCAGTCATGTAAAATTCAGGATTTCCCTCTTTACCCCTTGTGGAGACTGCTTCCTGCCCATGTGGGTTTTAAAAAGCCAGAAACAGCTGATCAGCTGTTCGGGCTCCTACGGAGACATAGCTGATTTCCAGCTGGCTTCAAGAGAGGAGAAGTGGATATCCATTAGAGGTCTCTAAAACTGTTTATTTTAAACTTTATAATATTAAATTAGCAATTGGGGAAAGAGGGAAATCTGGAGGCATTTTTTTAATCAATCAATTATGCACTGATGCATATATGCACACATAAAAATCTCTCCATATTTGTATTAGGATATTTGCATGTGCGCATATAAGCATCAGTGCATAATTGAGTGAGTTTCTTAAAAAAATCTTCCAGCTGATGTCTCCCATCCACCCCCTATTTTATCAAAAAAGAGCTGTGAGGATGGCAGGAGAAGAAGCCTGGGACCACCAGGTCTGTGTGGCGACCTGCTCTTTGGTTCTGGGATTGTTTATCCCGCTTGTTAATCCTGCATTTTGGCACTGTCTGGAAGTGCCCATAGAGTGTTTTTAACTATGTCACTCTTTCTTTCTCCCCTTTTCTGCTATTGCCCTCAATTAGCTTCAATTGCTACAAAATAAATTTGCACTCAGGGTGTAGCTAGATTGATTAAAAAAGACCAGAATGCCACAGATTTTATTCCCATACTTTCTCATTTTATTTTGGAGATCCATATTTGTTTTGTTTATGCACAAAACATGTTGGAGGATATGTAGGGGTTCCATTCAGCATCCTGCAAATGAATTCCTGCTTTCCTTCCAAATTTTTCATCCTCCTGTCTACACCCTCTTCTGAGTCTGTTTTTGATGTTAATCAGATTCTCAGAATAAAATTCAAGGGGCATGAAAGAGCTATAGTGACAAAACCAGTTGGATGGAATCCATTCATCCTTTGGTGTAATTCTTTGAACGGGTCTGGAAAGAAAATCCCTAGGTTCACAGAAGGAAAGCTCACCTCTCCATATAAAGGTAAGAATTTAATGGCAAACAGAATCAAGAAACCAGACAGAAACTACATATTGGTAGCTGTATTTTTTAAAGAAAAGAAATCTTCACATAATAAATACATCTTATACACATTGACTTCAAATTTACTTCAGAAATCTATTTACAATATAAATAATTAGAAATGGGAACATTTTTTTCAAGATATTGGCAACATCACTAAAGTTGAGTTCCCTACATTACATTCCAAAGGAAAACTTCAAATTACAAGGTGTTAGGCTACAATGTCACTAGCACCTGAACATTGTGAGTCATGGGATTTATAGTTTTGGCAGTCCAGCATGTTTGCCACCCATGCACAAGAACCTCCCTGGCTCTAAAAGACATTTGCTCCTGTCATGTTGCACAGAAGCTCCGAAGTGCTTACAAGAACCTCCCTGTTTATTTCAGTGTAGGAGGAATAGGTTATTTTTACATCGATTTCCCCCCCAAAATGGTGCCCTTGAGATGACTTGCAATACAACTGCCATCATCCCCAGACAACATGGCCAACAGCCTCTTTATTGAAGTGCATGCTAGAGCATAATAGCTGTAGTGAAGCATCTGCAGAATTCTATATCCATAGACAGTACATGAGTAAAATATCTATATGGTTTTATGGAACATGTTTCCAAATAATGATGCTTAAGTCAGTTTTCTTAGATACTGTCCAAAACATGCTTATTTGTAACTAAGTTTCCTTAGATTTATTGCAACCCACTTTTAAGTCAATTGGCTAAGGAGAATGTTGCTCATATGGAAGTTGAAAGCAAACAGAAAGGATAGCATTATTTGGAAAGTGCTCTTAAGTACAGTAATACATTTCATACCTTTCGCCCTCTTTTTAGGGAGAAAAATAAGAAAGCGTCAGTACTTAAACAGAAAATAGTTGTGCATAAATTCTTTGTTAAATGTAAAACACTGTCCTTTTAAAGCCAGCTTATGTATTTTATGTATTTTCAGAACATTTTTCCATTTAAAAACAAAGTCACATGCATTACAAATTAAATATTTTTGTTTAAAAATAGTTTAAATAACTACAGTAATAAGTAAATGTACTTGGTTTCACTATTTTTTTTAAAAAAAAGAGGTCACAAATAGCAAGAACTGGAAAGTTTGATTTTTCAGGCCAATTCTCTACAAGTTAGGTGCACTTAAGTATATTGATTTTAATTGCTTACGTACATCCAACTGAGATGGGATCAGATTCTTTGACTTGGATCCTAGTTTATGTTCCATTCATGGAATGGAGTTTCCTGCCTCACAGTTGCCTATAGGAATACCATATTAAGGGTATAATCCTATACACACTTAATTGGGAGCAAACTCTGTTGAGCTTAATGCAGTTCACTACAAGAGTGCGATCTTTACAAGGGATAAGTGCCCATCTTTAACCTGACCATTTGTTCTTCCCATTTGAAGCCCAAGTGAACAGACTCTTCATTCTCTCCCAATGCAACTCTATGGTATGCTGGAACTGAAGGTGACTATATTAAATGGTTTTCAGTTGTATTGACAGTTTTGTGTGGTAATGGTCAGGCCAGTAACTTATTCCTTATGGATTTGGGGGTCTTACGTGGGGAACTGTATCTATATTACTCAAAATTCCTAGACTGTTTGAATTCTCAATTTCACATGTTAATTTCAAGTACTAAATTTCTCATCACACTATGCTGCTATAACATTATATTTCACTTTGACCTTTCAGAATCCTGCTGTTGGTAGTTTAGTGAGACCCACAAACTCTTTGGTCAGGAATTTTAAATGCCTTTCCCTAAACTGCAAATCCCAGGATGCTATAGTATGTTGCCATGGCAGCTAACGTGCCACTATAAAATCATAGTGTTATAACACTGTTACATTGTAATGTGATAAATCGTTAAGTATATTTGTTGCTTTTGGCATAGGTTACATTTGAAAGCAAATGTATTGCATTAATATTCAGATTACATTGGAAAACTGTTATATCATAATTAATGTAAAACAAGTATTTGAAGGTCAAAAATCAATTTATAACTGTTCTAAAAGATGCTTAATGCAGATATAAATTGATATTTCAAATACGCATTTACCCAAGATGTCTTCCAGATGAGAAAAAATGTCATATTAATTTTGCAAGAATTATGAAGTGCTCCTAAGTTATAGCAATTGTTAGATCCAAGTTTAAGAAAATGGAATCTTAATTCAGATAAATAGCCACATTTTCAATGTAAGGAAAATGTCACATTGTATGTACAAACAATTAAAAAAATGAACGCTCTGAGAAAGAAGTGGTCAACAGCATATCTATACATGAGAGACTACTCACCCTTTCCTCCCCTACATTTTGGAGAAAACATGTAGTTTGTATTTAGCATAATCTATTCAGATCTATTATTGTGATTAGAAGGTTACCATAATCACAGAGACACATTTCACGGGCACTTCTTTGTGAAGAGATCTAGCAGACAATTTAGTAAATGGGCTTTGCAGCTTAGACAGTTATATGAAAAGGAATTTCATTTCATTTCCTCTCATGCCTAAATTCAGTCTTTTATCAAACTTTGACAACTCTTGACAGCATCTTCGGAGTCCCAACTTTCATATGTATAAAGCCTATAAGTATCATAATTCAAAAATGTAGTCATTTCTGAAGAAAAAGTTGATTGATGCTCTAGCATTTTTCTGTTCATAAACTTTGAAATTCTATTCACAAGACTTGCCCAAAACAGTTTGCCTGCCTTTGGAGAAGAGGAAGCTAGTGACCTGCCTCAGTTTACCTAATAGTAGAGTTATTAGGCATACTATTTAATTCAGACTTCCTATGATATTCTATGCACAGCACATACCCAATAACTTCCTGAATTTGGCAAGGTCAGACCCAGTTAATCTTCTGTCATTCCATTTTGTTCACCTGCATTTAAAATGTCCCAGTTACTTTCGCCTTCTACTTTCCGTCTTTCAGCTGCTGCAAACTGAATTCAATGTGATAACATCAGCAACTTTAATCTAGTGGTGTCGATTCCTTTGCAGACCATCAACTTTCAGTCTAATCAAGGCTGAAATTGACTGGATAATTCAATTAACTCAACTGATGGGAGAGGAAAAGAAGAAACCAAGTTTTTTTCATCCATATGGATTCAGGTGAAAGCAAACTTCTGCAACCTCTCCTAAATTGCAAGATCTTCCTCATTCATAATGTTTGCTATCTTGACCACTGAAGTTACTCGGTTACACATGTCCTAGTCTCTGTCAGTTGATGCTGATGGATATGAGAGCATGCTGATGAATGACATCGTGTGAAAGGAGTCACTTCCCACACAGCATGCCCATGTTAACCATTGACTCTCCTTCGTATTGATTTATGCAAGCATGGTGGGACGGCTAAGCTCATACTGAATCAGGGGAGATTCAACTTGTCAATATGGTTATTCCAAACTAGACATTACTACTTCCACATGGTTGTTTAGCACAAACCTAGCAAAGGATGGTTCTCTCACATTAACTTGTTTAAATAATAGCTCAAGATACTTTTTCATTTTTATGATACTCTTGGATTTTGCTAAATTATTAGGAGAAAATTAATGAAATTGCCATCCATCTTGACCAAATTCAATAGGTACAATAGGTTCAATAGGTTCTCTACACTGAGTCTGTCTCCGATGTAGTCCTTGAAGATGAGAAACCTATTTAGAAATAAAAATGTGGCCATCCTAATTCAGTACCACAAGGTTAAATACTGAGAGATTCCAAGTCAGAACAAAGTGTTCAAAGCCCCGTGCTAAACTGGTGAATTTCTATTTTAAAAATCATCACTAATACTTAGAATCAGTACAAAACAAATGTTATCGCTAGATCTGAATTGATTGACCACGTGTTACCATGGTGTCATTAGCTGTTGCAGCCTGCTGCTCTTTCTGTCATGGTTGAGCATTTTTGTGTCACTATTTTTTCCAATGTCATCGGTGTTACTGAAGATAGAAAGAAGTGCTACTTGATCAGTTGGTATGAAATGTAAAACTACAATCAGCCCTCCACATTTACATGTATATTTTTATGGATTTTGTTCATATATTCCCCCTAGAAATCACTAGGTCCTCCAGGGCAACTCTATGGTCAGTTTCTGCAACAGGCAACAGGCAAGTGCTTGGATGGAGCTCCATGGCTGACTGTGAGCAATGGTGACAACACAGACGATTAGGTGACAGCCCAGTGGAAACAATGTGGTCTCAACTCATCTAGACACCAACTATAGTGACCTGTCCGGAGTAAAACTTCATCATACGGTTTTTTCCCTCTGTTTCTACACAGTTCAAAGACGGGCTTCCACTGAGCCCATCAAATGATGCAGGATTGCTTCCAGTAGTTCCTCGTGGGACCCCATTTCCACAGCATGCAGAAACGGGAGGATTTCAAAGCCAGCCACAAATTGACTCCACTCCATTGCATGTGTGTAGAAATGCCCAAAAATGGCCATTGACACTCTGTTTTATGATCTATCTGTGCGTTAGTGGTATAAAGACAGTGTGTGTCCCACTGAAAGAAGTGTTTGTTAATGTGCTGATCTCCTCTAGAGGAGAGTTTCAAAGAGAAGGGGGAAAGATTCAATTGAAAGAATTGTTAAAAGTGGAGGGATTCAAAGGAGGGATTGATTGTGGAAAGGGTTACTAAAGGTTTGCTGGTCTTTTCAAGAGGGAGGATTCAAAGAGGGGAGAAAATCCCATTGAAATGAATGTTTTAAAGCTGTGGCAATTGCCAGTCTGTGTGATGGGAAATTAAGTGGATGGTTGAGCTAGAAAGGGGAGGAGGTAATCCTGTGTGATGAGGTAAGCAAATTTTCCTTCTTCTTTAAAGACGGAACCCCATAAAATGTCATGCAAAGATGATTATTCCCCCCCCCCACCCCTCAAAATGGGATGAAAGTCTAATATCATTGGGAAGATCACAGATTCCCCACATTTGTGTTAGCCGTATTCCATTCTGACATGAAATATGTGGAGAAAAATGAAAACAGAGCGATGTCATGACATTTTCACAGATTAAAATGCTACCACTAACTTACAGTATTTTAGAGTCAGCCCCATTACAACAAATGAGTTTGCTGCTTAAAATATGACTAAGTATGAGAAAAAAGATTGAGTTTTCACCAAATTCAGTTCACTGACATCATTACCTGTGACTCATTTGGTTATTTTGCAATGGAGAAAATCATCCATTTAGAAAAGCTTTGTTCCTTTTTAGCTTTTCATTCATTTGATTTTGTTTAAGGTCTTTTTGGTAACGTATTTGTTATAACTTTCCACTTGTGGCTTTGACCTGCTCCTCTAACTGCTTCCCTGCTGGACCTTCCCCAATTGCTTCTTTAGCTAGAAGGAAAACTGTTCATCTACCTCCTCACATCATACTCCTGGTTAGATTGCCATCAGACATGTAGTGCCTGCCAAACTGTTTTTTGCTTACCTACAACTATCTTTTTCCCTAGACCATAATCATCATTCAGAATGGGATCACAATTGAAACTGGCCCTCTGGTCTAGATCCACACAGTTACAGCTCTTCCATTATTCAAACCAGGCAAGGAAACGTTAATTTCCTATTCTTTCCTTTCAAGTAGTCTGCTTTCTACTCATGTTGTGTGTCTCTACCTAGCATACAGACCTCTGCACAATTGTCAATACCCAGCAAATAAATATGTAGGAATTTTAACTTTTGGCCAGTCATGCTTTGCACCAATTGTGGAGAAATACTTGTATAAATGTGAAATTATACCAATTTTGTTTTGACATTTCAAAATATCCATTTCTCCTTTTCCCATTCCTTTCCCTTCTTTGCATGTAAAGAGTGCCTAGTGGGTTTGTTTTACTAGAGCCAGAGGAGGTCAAGCTGCTAAGGAATTCTGGCCTTATCTATCATTATTCCAGTGGCACCAAACTGCTTATTGGGTATCTCACAGATGTTTGTGGCTTAGACCTCCTCCATAATATTTTTGCTATCTTTTAGATTTATCTTAGATACAGCTCTATGCATGTCTTGAGCATCAATGCCAGTGCTTTATTAAAACAAGAAGATGGATGAACAGAGACCTGTTCACTACCTTACAATTCCCACCTCCTAGTGCATTGTAGTTTATCAACGACTGGTAACAACAAGGTTGTTGAAACATGTATGCCTGCTGCTATTACTGCAAAGTTTCTTTTCTAGCACAAACATATTTTTAAGTAAGAAAAAAAGTGTGGGAAATACCCATCAGCTTCCATTGGTTATTATAACAGATGTCCCCTTGTGTCCCTGTGCTGGATCTTGCTGCATCCTTAGATGAGAAGTCACATCAAAGTGGGATCCATTGCAACCTAAAGAATAGTTTCTAATAGTTTCACTGTCATAAAGGTGCTCCAGAGCATATCCCGTCAACGTGTAAGCGTGCTTATCAAAATACTGCCTATGGGAACTGTAATAGTTTGGTGAACCCGTGGGATTGTTCTCTGCTGGAGTTTGATGAGGTGACACTTCAGAATGAAGGTAGTCTTTTGCCAGGATCAATCCTGATTTAGAAATGCGGTCAGAATTGGGGCTGCTTATTCTAGAGAGGCTTGTGGGGCTGTTGTCGTAGTCGTTCTCATGAGGGCTGAGCATCTTCCCTTCTCGTTGTTGTGTGTGTTCACAGGGAGATGTGGTGTTGGAGATGCTGGGGCCCCGACAGACATCTCCTCTCAACTGCTGTGGCTGGTGGTAGTTTGCAAAACAAGCTGAATGTTTCTTTCCTGCTCCATTAAGGGAAACCAGCTGGTCAGAAGTCGATTTTCGTAACTGTAGCCTGTTTTCTTCTTCTTTTATCATCTGCTGAGTTGCTCTGATGAGAGTTTCAATTTTGCTGGGCTCATGCGGACTGTCCTGATAATGCTCTGAGTGGTAGCGGTCCCCGGATTCACTTGCAGAACCAGGATCTGGGGAACTAACAACACTTTCTTCATCCCAGTGCCCTCTTCCTGGAAGGTTAATAAAACAAAGGTGATTAGCAGTCAGCATTGGGTTAAAAGCTGATTAAAGCAGAACATTCAGCACTGAATGCATTTCCACTGGAGGTGGAAGTAAGAAGTATATTCCCTGCAAGTTTTCTCCAGCCGTGATAAGTTTCAACGCATACTGTACTTTAGCCATTTTTGACCTTTTACGTTCCTGGTGCATATAGTTTGAGATTCAGTAGGAAGCATAACTGGACAGAGCTTGGAGGTATTGCTGTTTTTTACTTTAGTTGACAGTATCTCTGAACCTTCCTTTAGCTTAGTTGTCATTTAGATATCATACACTGTGATTTTTTTCCTAGCATTCAGTTCATATTCCTATTCTCAGGCTTTTGGCAAATGTCTCTTCATTTGCAAAAGCTGGCTTTCAAAATATTTACTTCCTGAACAATTGACCATTACCATGCCACTGTACTAGCCAAGGCAACCAATGCCAGAAGCTTAATTTCCAAACCACAATAGAAATTAATGGTTATGGGGGAATGTACAGTTAGCATACTAGGCTTTAATTCAGAATACTTTGAAGTGTTTTGACATACTGACAGTTCCACAGATCTACACTTTTAGCAAAGACCACTACAGTCTGTGTATGAGTGTGCCACCAGATATTTAACCAGACTTTTGATGAGAGAAAGGAGATGAGGAAACAATAGTGACAAATGTCATACCTCCACTGAGCAGCACAGAAGGACCTGAGACAACGAGGCATCACAGGATTTTACTCCTGCTTGGAGCAGAAAAAAACATCTCATGCTCTATCCAGGATTTAACAAAATCATGGCAAGCCCCAGAAATTCATAATAGACCAATATAATTTGGATATGCAAAACACCCCAATAAGTACAGTTATAACCCCCACCATATTCCAAGGCTTTGGAGCCATCTGAAGGAACTCAGAGATAACTGTGTGTGGAGAGAAAGTGAAATAGTGTTTTTTTCTGTTTGCTCATTGTTTCGAATAAGGCTAGGAAAATGGACTGAAATAGGACTGGATAGAATAGTGACCCTTTGGACTGCAATTTCTGAAGTAATTCAGCCCTCTTGGCCACTATTGCTGAATCCAAATGAGGGCTGGGCGCAGCATCCTGCCCCGGTTTGACCCCATTAATGTCACACTCACCCATATTAATCTGGATTTAAGTTGGTCCTCAAAGCTGCTGTTTCCCCACCTTGAACTCAGTGCAAAGGATCACCAGCAAAGGATCACCGCCTTGTCGGGGCGCTGGAGCTTGAGCACCTCAATGATGTAATGAGTGAAACCGGGAAGGGCCACCCAAGACGGGACAGTCATGGCAGAGAGGTCAGACCAAGCACGATCCCTGGGGAAGGCAATGGCAAACCACCCCAGTATTCTTGCCAAGAAAACTAAATGGACCAGTACAACCAGAGATATGTCGGTATGCCATTGGAAGATGGGACTCCCAGGTTGGAAGATGGCCAAAATGCTACTGGGGAGGAGCAGAGGATAAGTTCAACTAGCCCCAGATGTGATGACACAGCTAGCTCAAAGCCGAAAGGAAGGCTAGCGGCCGACGGTACTGGAGGTGAACGACGAATCCGATGCTCTAAAGATCAACACACCATAGGAACCTGGAAGGTAAGATCTATGAGCCAGGGCAAATTGGATGTTGTTATTGGCGAGATGTCAAGACTAAAGATAGACATTCTGGGGGTCAGCGAACTGAAGTGGACTGGAATGGGCCACTTCACATCAGATGACCACCAGATCTACTACTGCGGACAAGAGGAACATCGAAGAAATGGAGTAGCCTTCATAATTAATCAGAAATTCGCTAAAGCGGTGCTTGGATACAACCCAAAAAATGACAGAATGATCTCAATTCGAGTGCAAGGAAAGCCTTTCAACATTACAGTGATCCAAATATATGCCCCCACCACAGCTGCTGAAGAAGCAGAAGTAGATCAGTTCTATGAGGATCTGCAGGACCTACTGGATAATACACCAAAAAGAGACATTATTTTCATTACAGGAGACTGGAATGCCAAGGTGAGAAGTCAAATGACAACTGGGATCACAGGCAAGCATGGTCTGGGAGAACAAAATGAAGCGGGACGCAGGCTGATAGAATTTTGCCAGGAAAACTCGCTGTGTATAACGAATACTCTCTTCCAACAACCTAAAAGACGGCTTTATACATGGACCTCACCAGATGGTCAGCACCGAAATCAGATTGACTACATCCTTTGCAGCCAAAGGTGGCGGACATCCATCCAGTCGGTGAAAACAAGACCTGGGGCTGACTGTAGCTCAGATCACGAACTTCTTATTGCCAATTTAGAATAAAACTAAAGAGATCAGGGAAAATACACAGACCAGTTAGATATGATCTCACTAACATTCCTAGCGAATATACAGTGGAAGTGAAGAACAGATTTGAAGGACTAGATTTAGTAAACAGTCCCAGAAGAACTATGGACAGAAGTCCGAGACATTGTTCAGGAGGCGGCAACAAAGTACGTCCCAAAGAAAAAGCAAACCAAGAAGGCAAAATGGTTGTCTGCTGAGACACTGGAAGTAGCCCAAGAAAGGAGGAAAGCAAAAGGAAACAGTGATAAGGGGAGATATGCCCAGTTAAATGCGCAATTCCAGAGGTTAGCCAGAAGAGATAAGGAACTATTTTTAAACAAGCAATGCATGGAAGTGGAAGAAGACAACAGAATAGGAAGGACAAGAGACCTCTTCCAGAAAATTAGAAACATTGGAGGTAAATTTCAGGCAAAAATTGGTATGATAAGAAACAAAGATGGCAGGGACCTAACAGAAGCTGAAGAGATCAAGAGAAAGGTGGCGAGACTATACAGAAGATCTGTATAGGAAGGATAATAATATTGAGGATAGTTTTGACGGTGTGGTGAATTAATTAGAACCAGACATCTTGAGGAGTGAGGTTGAATGGGCCTTAAGAAGCATTGCTAACAACAAGGCAGCAGGAGATGACGGGATCCCAGCTGAACTGTTTAAAATCTTAAAAGATGATGCTGTCAAGGTGATGCATGCCATTGGCCAGCAAATATGGAAAACACAAGAATGGCCATCAGACTGGAAAAAATCAACTTATATCCCCATACCAAAAAAGGGAAATGCGAAAGACTGCTCAAACTTCCGTACAGTGGCCCTTATTTCTCATGCCAGTAAGGTAATGCTCAAGATCCTGCAAGGAAGACTCCAGAAATACATGGAGCGAGAGTTGCCAGATGTTCAAGCTGGGTTTAGAAAAGGCAGAGGAACGAGAGACCAAATTGCCAATATCCGCTGGATAATGGAGAAAGGCAGGGAGTTTCAGAAAAACATCTACTTCTGCTTCATTGACTATTCTAAAGCCTTTGACTGTGTGGATCATAATAAATTGTGGCAAGTTCTTAGTGGTATGGGCATCCCAAGGCACCTTGTCTCTCTCCTGAGGAATCTGTACAAGGACCAAGTAGCAACAGTCAGAACTGACCACGAACAACAGACTGGTTCAAGATTGGGAAAGGCGTACGGCAAGGCTGCATCCTCTCACCCAACCTTTTTAACTTGTATGCAGAACACATCATGCGATGTGCGGGGCTGGATGAATGCAAAGCTGGGGTGAAAATTGCTGGAAGAAATATTAACAACCTCAGATATGCAGATGACACCACTCTGATGGCCGAAAGCGAGGAGGAGCTGAGGAGCCTTCTAATCAAGGTGAAAGAAGAAAGCGCAAAAGCCGGGTTGCAGCTAAACGTCAAAAAAACCAAGATTATGGCAACAAGAATGATTGACAACTGGAAATAGAGGGAGAAACCGTGGAGGCCGTGACAGACTTTGTTTTTCTAGGTGCAAAGATTACTGCAGATGCAGACTGTAGCCAGGAAATCAGAAGACGCTTACTTCTTGGGAGGAGAGCAATGTCCAGTCTCGATAAAATAGTGAAGAGTAGAGACATCAGACTGGCAACAAAGATCCGCCTAGTCAAAGCCATGGTATTCCCTGTAGTAACCTACAGATGTGAGAGCTGGACCTTAGGGAAGGCTGAGCGAAGGAAGATCGATGCTTTTGAGCTGTGGTGTTGGAGGAAAGTGCTGAGAGTGCCTTGGACTGCGAGAAGATCCAACCAGTCCATCCTCCAGGAAATAAAGCCCGACTGCTCACTGGAGGGAAAGATACTAGAGACAAAGTTGAAGTACTTTGTCCACATCATGAGGAGACAGCAAAGCCTAGAGAAGACAATTATGCTGGGGAAAGTGGAAGGCAAAAGGAAGAGGGGCCGACCAAGGGCAAGATGGATGGATGGCATCCTTGAAGTGACTGGACTGACCTTGAAGGAGCTGGGGGTGACGGCTGACAGGGAGCTCTGGCGTGGGCTGGTCCATGAGGTCACGAAGAGTCGGAGACGACTGAACGAATGAACAACAACAACAATGTTCATGTGCTCATCACATTGGATTATTTTAGATAACAAAACTGCAGCAGCTACATTTTTTCTTTTTCTTCCTTTTATAAATGAATACCTGTATATTCATATAAACAATCATATTTTGATTATTCTTACCACCCACCTGCACTCCCATTAGCTGTCATGTCATCCCTGCTTTTCTTTTCCCTCTGAAACCTCATGACCTCACAATACTCTGTATCTCTGTATAATTCTCTATGTGCCATGTGCACATGTGTTTGGTAAATTAAATATCTCCTCATTCAGTTTAGGCCATGACATTTAAATATCTCACGTGATATTCTCTCAAGATTAACAGAATTTTCAAATAAAAAATTCTACAAATGGAACACAGCTAATTTCTGAGTCCCAAATCAGTAAAAATTAAAGCCCAATCATCCCTGTGTTGAATGTATTGTTGAAGGCTTTCATGGCTGGAATCCCTGGGTTGTTGTAGGTTTTTTCGGGCTATATGGCCATATTCTAGAGGCATTCTCTCCTGACTTTTCACCTGCATCTATGGCAAGCATCCTCAGAGGTTGTGACGATCCTCTGAGGATGCTTGCCATAGATGCAGGCAAAACGTCAGGAGAGAATGCCTCTAGAACATGGCCATATAGCCCGAAAAAACTACAACAGCTCCCTGTGTTTCTTTGAATTGATTTCTTAAAATCCAAAGGAATTTATTCTCCAATGAAGTTGCCATTATCTTACTCTGGAATAAGTCAAAGTGAACTCAGTTGGACTTACTTATGTCTAGAAACGTATGCAATCGCACTGTTAATGAACATCGGGCATAAATGTTTTCCCTGTAGGCCAGGCCCGTAGCCAGGATTTCGATTCGGGGGGGGGGGTGAGAGTTTCAGGGGGGGGCTGAGTCTGAGTGAAAGAGGGTCTACCCTAGCAAACCTTTTGTATCGTTACCCCAATACCCCCATGCATATGGGATATATTGAGCATGGTGATCAGATCATGATATGAATAAACATAACAGTTTAAATAATGTACCAGTAAGGCCTTCTCGTAGACCACCATGAGAATTGGGGGGGGGGGCTGAAGCCCCCTCCAACCCCCCCCCCGGCTACATGCTTGCTGTAGGCTTTACCTGGGCATAAGTGCCTGTGACAATGAACTTCACTTCCTTCCAAGTAAATGGTTTTAGATGCGTGACCCGATCTTTGTTAGAACCCGAGATTGAATTCCCATCGAATTTAATAAAATGCTCAGAGAGCAGAAAATCTCAGGCTCATCTGGTATTCAAATGTGTGGATATCAGTATACATACACAGATCAAAGATATCTTTACAAGAATGCAGAATTGAATTCCCATTCTGTTAAATATAACATTATAGTCCTGAGTAGAGTCTCAGACCTTTGGATATTCGCAAGCATAAACCAAACATTAAAAAAATATATTTGTAGGATGGGGATGCCAAGTAAGCCCCTACTCTCCCGCCAACCACTTCACCCTCCAATTCCACTCTGATCCTAATTCAGGGTGAAGGAAACATGTGTGAAAATGCCAGTTTCCCCTAGAATCTGCAGGGTAAAAAGGGTCTGCCTCCCCCACAATAACCATCAGATTAAAGCCCTTTGAAACACCATGTGTTCAACCAGGATCTAGATCAGTGGTTCTCAACCTGTGGGTCCCCAAGTGTTTCGACCTGCAACTCCCAGAAATCCCAGCCACTTTACCAGCTGTTAGGATTTTTGGGAGTTGAAGGCATCTGGGGATCCACGGGTTGAGAACCACTGATCTAGATAAAGATAAGAATGAATGGTTTTGCAGGTGTGGATTCAGCTTAGGAATCTTCCGAAAGTTTTTTGTTGTTAAAAATCACTTTTCAAACTGTAGACTGAGGTGAATATTTGTCTGCCTTCCTGTTTCCCTTCCTCTCTCCCTCAGAGAGAAAAAGAGGGAAGAAGAAAGGGAGAGGAACAGATGAATTAAGAATAATTGCTGAAAGTCTCATCTAAATATGTTTATTCCATTCCTAATAACCAGAATATATTATCTATCCATTCTAATATGGAACACCAAGCCTTCTTTGTTTGGAAGGAACCAGACAAGGAAAGGTGCCTCCCAACTTCACTGCAGGATTCATAAGTAAACTGAAAAGTTATCAAGATACCACAGCTTATTTTCTGGCAGTTTTTGTTTTGCTTCGTCTTGTTTCACAACTTACCATGTATCCGGTGAATGGAAGTTATGTGAGGCATGCTGTTGTCATAGGTCTCCCTGCTCTCCGGAGAAGACTTGGTGAGGGGCAGGGCAGAGCGAGAACCCCACCATGACTCTCTCCCAGACTGGGGTGTGCCAAGGAAGTATCGGCCAGCTTCACACCTGCCACCTTCACAGGCCTGAGTATGGAAGTGTCTCTCATCTGCCAGCTTGGAATTGTCAAGTGCAAAACCATAGCAGAGAGCATTGCGGTCCGAGTATTGTCTATAGGCACAGGAGATATCATGATGCTGAGAGTTTGGCCTTTCAGAGGGATCCATTAACTGTGGAGATGCAGTGTCAGTCAATGGACTTCCACCCCATTGGCTCTCATGGTCAGACTCAGATCTTTCAGTATGAAATCCAGAATACTGCAAATAAAAGAAAAGGAGAAATCAAGGGTCATGGTTCAAACACAATAAGATGTATTAGGAATTTGACTTCCATCCACGTATCAGTGGAACTGGAAGTGAAAGAAGGACTTCACTGACTACCCATGATCAAAGTTGTAGTTCAACAGATATGGAGGGCACTAAGCTAGGGATTACTATTTCAATGAAAGTATACCCTAAAGATACCGCATTCTGCCTGATCTTGGAAGCTCAGTAGGATCAGCCCTATTTATTGAATGTGTGCCTGATCAGAAATTCTGTCTTATATCAAACTGCAATAATAGAGAAATGCAGTCTTGCATGCAGAAAATGCATTAAATGTTATGTTTTAAATAGGCTTTTGGTTTTTTAATGTGCTTTTTACAATAGTCAGATGTTTTAAACACCCTTTTTTGGCTGAAAGTAAAGGTATAAGTACAATGAGAGAGAGAGAAAGCGGAAAATATTAAAGTACAGGAAATTATTCACAATACTACTTTTCCAAATTGCTTGTTAGCAGCAGATCTGGAGATTTTCAAATGGTGTAGTGGGACACAGAACTGCATGGGTGGGAACAGGAATGTAGTTGACAGTTCAATTTTTTTATTCTGATGACATAAGTAAAAGAGGTTAGGGACACTGTCCTTCCTTTTGCAGACAGGTACACAAAATATGTCAATTGCTATTGGAGGCTAAAAATGATTATATCTCATCACTTCCCTCTTTGCAGGCTTGCCAACAATTACTTGCATATGACTCCCATATCCCTGCCCAGCCCAGGGATTTAAACTCTGATCTGCAGAGTTGTAATCCAGCATCCAAACCACCATGTGGCTCTCTCCTTTCTAATAAGTATCAAATGTTCAGTGATGGATGGGGCCCACAGGTGTGACTCTATTTCTCCTAAAACACTTGCTGGACATGTGAGGAGGGAATCCTTCAGCACATTGCTCATATTTTTCACTATCCCCACTCCTTCCATCGCTCCGCTCCCTGGAAATGTCAACACCAAGCCTCATTTACAACTGAGGTAAAGCTGAGAAGCTTGTGGGGAGGCCCTCTTGTTCTCAGGTAACACATGCACAAGACCTGGTCTCTGGAGGTTTCCCCTAATTAAATCACAACATGAAGATACATGAATTAAAATGTAATAATGGAAAGATTTTGAAAACAGTTAAAATTATTTTAAAACATTTATATTTGAAGATTTTATAGACAAATGAATGAAATTCTAGGGGGAAACTATGGTGGTAATGTGGAACATGGATGGGGGAAGTTGGCCTGCAAGCTGCTCCCAAGATAGCCCCACGTATTTTTTTTTGAAATAATAATAAAAAAGGATTGTAATGCTCTCTACATCACCTAGGACCAAGGTACAACTTTTCCATTTGTTGGGGGTGAGACAATTTGGCCACATTTTAATATACACACTCACATCCACATGATCTTCTAAGCAAAAAGCACAGGTTACCAAGCGCCTTTTGCAGGCAAGAATGAGTAGCAATAGGAAAGCTATTCCATCCAAACAAGGAAGTTGTTTCTTATTTTCTCACATATTTTTTTTGTTATTTTTTAAAAGTGGCTTCTCCAGTCAAATCACAATCTCTGGTATGGAAATTTGCCTGGCTTCACTCACCACTTTCCAAAACTAAAGGGATGACTGGCAATAAAGGAGCACCAGGGAATTCATCTGAACTATTTTGAGCCATTTCCAGTCATCTCAATACTTTTTGCTGGATTCTGACAAGGGTGGCTGTGCATTTCTGAAAACAAGATCTGACATTTCATGGGCTAATCCAATGCACCAGCAAAGCATGAAACAACTACGAACATAGCATGGATGATCGTAGAGCTTTTTAGAGTTTGTGAAGATATTTTAACCCAAGGAAAGCTTAAAGAGATATTTATGAAAAACGAAAAGGGAGAAAACATGGCATGTTGTTCCCTTGACCTATGAGATATAATGGCAATAACATTGCAATGAAAGTCAACAGAATCAATTCAATGTAGATATGCTGCAATCCTTTTAACTATAGAAATATAGAATTTAGTCGGTGGTGACTGATGACCTTGATGTCCATAAGTAGAGAATCCACTCTAGTTTTTAGTTTGGAATTTAACAGAACTGTCCAAACTCCTGGGCCTAATTCGCAGGTGGGGATCAACACCTTGAACAGGCCCTTAAAATTCTAACTGAATAACTGAGTGGGTTCGCTGTATAAAAAGACCCCCTGACCCCTCTGCAGTTGGCCAGTCTTGCCTTTGCGGAAGGATGATGAACTGAATAATCTGTTTTTTATCAACTAAAATGTGGCCATAATCTCTCCCAAATAGTGTGGAAAACGAGACAAGATCCAGAAATAGCGCAAGTGTGAAAGCTAAAGGAATTTGAGCAAAACTTACTGATTTTTTTCTTCCCCCCCCCCCCCCCCCCCCCCCCAGGCTAATCATTTAAAAGGCGAAGACCCAAAACTAATTTTATTCTGGAGAGGGTTTTTCTTACTTGTTTTAATAATGGATGTAATTGTTTTTAGATGTTTTTAATTCTTTAGTTTGGATCACCCACCTTCTCTCCCTACCTTCATGGGGTGGGAGGAGGCGGCGGAAGAGGGGTGGTCTTATAATCTCTGAGACAATGTCTCTTTCTACTTCTTGTGGCCTTTTCCCAAAAGACTGCTGAAGTCACTATTTAAGTTTGCCTTGCTCCCCTTAAGCTGAAATCCCTTTCACACAGACTTTCCAGTTAACTATTTGTTATTCACAAAGCTTGAAGTTCTGCCACAATATTTGCTTCTCCTGATTCCTTCTATCAGCAGATCTAAACAATAAACTGTTCTGTTGCAATTCTCAAAGGAATGTTCTCCCAGCAGAAGGAACTTCTGCTGGCAGTAAAGGCTTGGGCCCATCCTAGTCCTCATCAACTGGTGCATCTTTGAATTAACAGTGAAATGTCAATTTCCTTTTACTAAAAAAAACAAAACAAGTCAGTCAGTATAGAGTTACTTTAGGATGGGGGGGGGCTGTAACTATAACTATTACAAATAAAAGTAACTTTCCAAAACTTGACAAAAACAAAGAAGTACAGCTCCGAATATTTCCACCAAGCCAAGAATCCATTTAAAAGTCACCTCATTGCCTTTTCCTGCATGGCACAAATCTTTTTGAATGTAAACACTACTCCATGCCTTAAAACAGTTCATAGATGTCCAGGCTGAGTATCATAAGATCCCTCATTTAAACTCTAGAAACATAAAATCCTAATCTTATTTATTCTAGGAATGCTGGTAGGGTTCACCTCTGCCTCTTAAATCACAATCTTGTAACCCAGACTCTATGGGCAGGATTCTGTTGGTGCACAGTGCTAGAAGATGGAAGTCTTCCAAGATTGTGCACTGTTTGCCAAGAAAGGAAGACAAGATCTACTGGCTTTCAGTCAGCCATTGTTAGCTTTCCTTTTCCTCCTACCGCCACCACTTATACAGTTACATTAATATGCTGTTCTAGTAGAATTATGCCCATTACCACTAGTCTCATATATGTAGACTTGATTGTTATTTTTCTATAATGCAGAGGCATTGAACATGCTCAGAAATGCCCATTGCATCTGAAATGGTTCAAGGTTAATCCTTGGCATTATAAACAGGTAGAGTAGCTGAGCCCTAGCTCAGATTAAGTTCTGACTAATAATACTGGGAATTTGAAAGCTCACCCTGGTTGGGGGTGGCTACGAAAATTCCTCTTGCAATGAGAAAGCTGGTCACATGAGTCTCCTTCTAAGTGGTTGCTGGACCGCAGCCAACATGAGGCAAAGTCTGTCATGGTGTCTCTCTTTACCTAAAGCTTTATATAAATATCAAGACAAAATGGGAAAGTTGATACATTTTATGAGTGCCTGGCTCTCTTTTCTCTTCTTCTTATTGAAAGAGCTCCAGAGCTTACACTCTCAGCCTCTAACAACAAGGAGTAATTCAACAGAAGGTATCAGCTTACAAGTTACAAAGCTGTGTAACACTTAAGTTAAGAAGAGACGCTGTGAAAGCTTGGTCTGCTGCACACAGTAGATTGCAATAGAACCTAAGCATGACACTTAAGTAACTGCTGGGATGAAACTTAATTAATCCACTAAGCACTGGCACATTCCTTGCTGGGTAACATTTGGCAGCAGCATAGAAATCCACCCACTCTCAAAAAAGATTTTGATATCTCAACCGCCTTTCTATTACAACCTAGAAAGTTAGATTATTTTAAAGGAATGCATTTTTATTAATCATTATGCTATTTAACATATGATCTGTTTCATTCATCATTGCGTGTGTATGTGTCTTCAGATTACCTGCTGGCTGATGGTGATTCATAAGATTTTCCTAGGAAGGTGATTTGCCAGTTCCTGCCTCTGAAATATAGCCTACAGCACGTAGTATTCGTTGGCAGTTTCCAGTTCAAATTCTAATCAGGGCTGATGCTATTTAGTTTCCAAGATCAGGTGGGATCAGATACCCTTAGGGTATTTCAGCCCCAGTAGACCTCCTGAATTCAGTGTGATTTGCCTGTGTCTTGAGTGACCATTTAGGATTTGACACAGTCGATTTAGGATTTGGGATCTTTGTTCTGGAACATATTTTCATGCCTTCTTGTTTTTGAGTAACATAAATGTTGATTTTTGTAATCTGTAATGCATTTCCACACTCTCCCAAACATCACAGATGAAAAATAAGCCAAATGTAATCAAGCAGCATCAGAAAGTGCTCAAAAAGACAAAAGTAAGTAACGAGGAAGACCATATCAGTTGGGAGATGCTGCAAGTTTGTTTTTGCCTGAGTTTACTTCGAAGGAAAGTTTCAATCCCTTTCTTTACCCTTCTGCTGAGTCAAGTACAAATTACATTTGCACTTTGAACTCAGTTTGCAACAACTAAGTAAGCAAGGAGAAAGGGCCCATTTACACAGTACCTAACACATGGGATTCCCAGTGTTAAAAAAGGAGGGTGGCTACGTGACGTT